ATTAAATTGAAGTGAACCAAAAGAATTCAAAAAAAATTATGTATTTGTTCAATTAAATTTATTAGTGTCACCAAAACTGAAGTCCCACAATACGAGAGGTGCCGCAGGCGAGGATCAGGTCACCAGAGGAGCGGATTGGCCACCACCTCTGGGTGGCCTCAGGTTTTTTATCTTATATAAATTTAAATCCAAATTGAAGAAAGAATTCGAGATAAAAAAATGGCGGTTGAATAATTAATATTAAATGATCATAATTTTATATTAATTTAATTATTATTATCATAATTATTAAATTTATTTATTATTAATTATAAGAAAGCGCTATTATTTATAGGTAGCAGCCACGCGCAGGCGGCCACGACATGCAATGATAATAATCTTCATTTATGATAAATTTAAATTAATTTATTCGTCCTAGGTGTTAGTGTCGTCAAGCCGTTTTCGCGTCTGCTCTACAAAGAATAATTATAAAAATTGTAAAATATGTTAGGTGTTTATTTATTAAATGTCTTTGTGTAAGTAAAAGTGAAATGTTTGAGTAAGTAGTTACGGTGGGTGAGATAAGTGTGTGAGGCGGGTGCCTGTCAGGATTTGGGAGTCGGCAGGTGCATTAATCGCCAACTCATGGTGGGGAGGGCTCCGTTAGGGTGGACCTTAACAGCTGTCCACCGTAGGCTGGTTTTCAGATTGTCCGACAGAGTGTTTTAAAAGTAACCGAAATTCGTTAATCCAAGTTTAAATATAAATTATTTTGGTAACCGACTCTACCCTTTATCGAGGTCTTACCCACCCCTGGTTTATCTCTGTCTAGCCGGCAAGTCGATCAAGGGAACCCGAACCACAAGTCGCACAGTAACAAATGGCACCCAATTGGAAATAGGAATTGCGTGTTAAATCGAGTACCTAAACTTACAATAGTCGTGTATCTTTGTAAAGTCTAACCATTGACAGTCAGCTGTTTGGACCGCGGGGAGGATCCTAAAGCCTCACCTGTTGCTGCCACGGCTGGAACGTCAACCACAAGACAGCAAAAAAAGACGAGAAAAAGTCCAAAATTCGAAGAATCCAAAGCGGAACCCCGTAAACTTGTCCCAGAGTGGAGGCAATAAATTCACTGCTACGCTGCCGTTTATGGCTCTGCCGAGGAAAACAAGAATAACAATTAGTTTTTTTTGCATACAATTTCAATAAGAAAACTTTTTTTTTTACCGTTAATATCTGCCAGAACATAGGCTGTGGTCCGGACAGGTGGCTTAAAAGATGCCACATGCAGTCGTTGTCCAGCCTTTGTTTCAGCTACAATTCTATGTCATAGCCAGGAGTCAATCAGAAAAAATGTAGGAAAACGGAAATTAAAAGTCTATATTTTACTTTAGTAGAAAAGACTTACCGATAAGCAGCCGCCTGAAACCAAACTTATCTCACCCATTCTTATTATGTCCAATTTCTGTTAAAATACGAAAGATAGAAATCGTTAGTAAGCGTTAAAAATAGTCGAAATAGTTAGGTATACGGAATTTGGTGATGCCAAAGAATCCTAGCCCGATATCTATCCGAACTGGATAGAAGCTCACACTCGGAGGCCATGGATAACTCCGTGGAACCGCGGGATGCCAACAGAGATTGTATCATGGGCGACAGCGAGGGACAGTCCACGTCAGCAGCAGCTCGAGAGCAACAGGGAATGTCCACAATCCCCAGTGAAATATCATCGGCTATTAATTTGGCATTGTGCCAGGCCCAAGAGACCTACCGCAAAACCATGGCCTTGTAATTCGCATCCTTACAGGCGCAGATGAAGGAGGACATGCTTCAATTCATGAAGCAGATAAGCGACAGCCTTGCGGAGATGCGAGCTGGCACTGACACACGACAACGTGAGGGATTGACAGCTCAAAGAATGTCACACGCACAGGAGCAAGGAAACAAGCCGGAATCTCGTCGTAGCAGCAACGATAGTCGACCGTCTGCACATCCGCTCACATAAGCTCACGTGTTGGAACTGTGCCCAGAGAGGACACACATTTTAGGAGTGCGAATCCAAGACCCGAAACGTTTTTTGCTAAAAATGTGGTCTAACAGGTGTTGTACTTCCCAAATGTCCGAAGTGTCAGGCGGAAAACAACCAGAGGAGCCTGACGCAAGCGGAGGAGTCGCGTTCCAAGCCGTCACTGCACGGAAACTAGATACCTCCCATAAGGCATTATAAGAGATAAAAGATAGCAATGAAGAAAAATTTAATGTTAAATATAATATAGTAAAAATTAACAATAATCGAAATAATCACGTTAGATGGTCAGAACGGAAGCCACTTGAAGTGAGGAAATCAGAATATGCAAAAGCTCGAGCGCGTATTTTCGCAACGGCCGCAGAGAATACACCCAGGGTAAAACGAGCGCGCTCCCGTTACGAACAGCACCAGGAGCGTAGAATGGTATACGCTGCGATTCAATTAGCAGTTAAAGGCGACGATCGGGCATTCGCAACGGTCAAGCTGGGACAGCGAGAGATCGCGGAGCTGCTAGATACGGGTGCATCCGTCAGTCTGCTGAGAGAAGGTTGCCTGCAATTGATAAAAGAGGAATTGGAAATTCACCGGGTTCGATCGACAGTCCAGTCAGCGGGAGGCACGCAACATCACATTCTGGGTCGTGTCTATGCCTTAATATCGTACAACGGCCAAACACCAATTAGCTCTGTATCTATGCCCATCTCTCAAGCAGTCATTGTATCTCGGAGTGGACTTTTGGCGAAAATTCGGATTGTAGCCGGAAATTCTAGGAATCGAGGAGCTGGGGTATGTCGACTTGGAGTTCACGACCAAAAGCGAACCGATAGTAGCCCATGAACTAAATGAGGAGCAACAACAACATCTGCTGCAAGAGGCAAGAGAAGGTTTCTTGGATTACGAATCTCGAGGATTGGGGCATACCAACATAGAAACACATACCATTCAACTAGTGGATGACGCAGTGCCAGTGAAGGAGCGATTCTATCCAGTATCTCCAGCAGTGCAACAGCTATTGTTTGCGGAAGTGGACGAAATGCTCAGACTGGCAGTGATCGAGCCGAGCGAGAGTCCGTGGAACAATCGAATGACGCTTGTCAAGAAGCTTGGGAAGAATGGACTGTGTCTGGATGCGCGCAAGTTGAATAGCCTGACCATTAAAGACGCTTACCCGTTACAGAACATCGAGTCCAAATTAAGCAGAGTTGACGAAACCATTTTTATAAGCAGCGTGGATTTGAAGCATGCATTTCGGCAGATCGAGCTGGACCCCAAAAGCCGCGAATTCACAGCATTCACTATACCCGGCAGACCTCTCTATCAATTCACAATGATGCCATTTGGGCTATGCAACGCAGCTCAGAGATTGTGCCGATTGATGGACAAGGTGATTCCTCAACGCTTGCGCAATCGTGTGTTCACCTTCTTGGATGACTTGCTAATCATTTCGAGGTCGTTCGACGAGCACTGCGAGCTGCTGAAGGAAGTAAGCGACTACCTGAAAAAAGCGCGTTTGACCATTGGATTACAAAAATCCGAATTCTGTTTCAAATACATGCGTTATTTGGGGTACATCATAGGAGATGGCGCATTGCGCACCGACCCACAGAAGGTGGAAGCAATACTGCAGATCGCTCTTCCAAAGACCACCTGGCAACTACGAAGCTTTTTGGGCACAGCGGGATAGTACAGGAGATTCATCCGAGACTTTTCTGGACTGACTGCACCATGAACAGACTGCTTAAAAGCGAACACTAAGCTGGTTTTGACCGCAGAAGCGATAAAGGCTTTCCAGGAGCTCAAAAAGGCACTCACATGTGCACCCGTAATGGCACATCCTGATTTCCATAAGCACTTTTATATACAGTGCGACGCAAGCCAATATGGAATAGGAGCGGTGCTTTTTCAGAAGGACGACACCGGAGGGGATAGGCCGATCGCTTTCTTTTCCGCCAACATGCGTGGAGCACAGCTTAATTATCGTGTAACAGAAAGGAATTCCTGGCCGCCGTCAAAGCCGTCGAACGCTTCCGCCAATACGTGGAACTGATGCCATTCACTGTAATTACCGACCATGCCAGTCTGCAGTGGCTAATGACATTAAAAGATCTTAGTGGAAGACTCGCTCGGTGGTCACTGGCTCTTCAAGCATTCGACTTCAACATCGAGCACCGCAAGGGCAAAGACAATATCGTGGCAGATATGTTGTCTAGACCGTTTGAAGTAGAGGAAGTGGATGTTTTTGATTTTGAGACCACCGAGTTTGAGAGCGAGGAGTATTTGGAAAGGCTGAGGGTTGTCGAGGAGCAGGCGGACAAGTTTCCAGACTTACGAATCGAGGAGGGACTGCTTTTTAAAAGAGCCCAGTTCAACAGAGAAGACAGCGAAGAATTCCCCTGGAAACTGTGGGTTCCTGAAGGGTTAACATCGACGCTCATACAAAAGGCGCATGAAGGCGAGATGGCGATGCATGGTGGAATTGCAAAGACTCTGGCCAGAGTCAAGCAATTCTACTACTACCCCGTAAGTCAATACGAGTCCGAGAGTACGTCACCAACTGCGAAATCTGCAAAGTGACAAAACACACGACTCACACTACTCGTCCCCCTATGGGCAAGGAAGTTAACACCGAAAGGCCCATGCAAAAGCTATACCTGGACTTTTTGGGAAAATATCCATGCTCGCGACATGGCAACACGCACCTTTTTTTAGTCCTGGATCATTTTTCCAAATTCGCCTGGCTGAAAGCAATACCTAAGGCGACGACTACGGCAGTGGTGAAGTTTTTACATGATCACATATTCACTCAGTTTGGGGTGCCTGAAATTATTCATACAGACATTTCACGTCTAACAAGTTTGCCGAGTTCACGAGTAATTATGGAATCACTCACCAGAATACCGGGAACTATGCGCCACAAGCGAACGCGTCCGAGCGGGTGAGCCAGTCTGTACTAGCGTCAATACGGATCCATGTTGGCGACAATCATGCGCGATGGGACGAACAACTTCCCGGAATAGCGACAAATTAGCACGCAGGTTGAAAGCCGTCAGCGACACGGAGGTGCAGAACTTGGCCCGTGTCGATAAGCACCAGATTTATAGAGCCAGGATACAGGACACCATGCACGCAGCCTATAAAAAAGCGACCAGAAGTTACAACTTGAAGTCCCGAGAAATAACGTACGCACCTGGACAGGAGATATACAAGCGTAACTTCATCCTGAGTGACTTAGCAAAAGGCCGCAACGCCAGGTTCTGTCACAAGTACGCCAAGTGCAGAGTCGTTAGGGCGGTGGGATCAAGTCTATACGAACTTGAGACGCTGCAAGGAGTGCCGTTGGTGATATTTCACGCCAAGGACCTGAAACAGTAGGCATAAGTTTGTGCCTGGCTAAAGGTCTTAAAATGTATGCGCACCTCGAAAAATGCGATGCAGCCGAATCTCACGTTGGCGCCACTGTAACACGACAACAGCCACAGCAATAAAGCCCGATTTCCACTCCTGTTTAAAGGGCAAGCATCCAAACCGGAGTGTGGTGTTACGGGCAGCAATGCGATAAAAAAAAATATATGGATAAATACCACACAAAACAATATGCTGTTTTTGGATTGCCGGCGGAAGGAAAGCTATCGATAGATTCGAGGGGTGCGCAATTATCGGAGCCACCGGTTCCCTAGCGTGACTCTAAACATTCTTGAAAGGGAGAGCGGTTTATGTTGTTGGGAGCAAATAAAGTAAGAAAAGAAAAGATCCAGAGTCAAGTGCAAGCTGGCCGCATACAAAAAAATATCTTGAATTATAGATAAGGGCGAATTTTCGGTTATTTGAAAAATTTAAATTAAATTGAAGTGAACCAAAAGAATTCGAAAAATATTATATATTTGTTCAATTAAATTTATTAGTGTCGCCAAAACTGAAGTCCCACAATACGCGAGGTGCCGCAGGCGAGGATCAGGTCACCAGAGGAGCGGATTGGCCACCACCTCTGGGTGGCCTCAGGTTTTTTTTTCTTATATAAATTTAAAACCAAATTGAAGAAAGAATTCGAGATAAAATAATGGCGGTCGAATAATTAATATTAAATGATCATAATTTTATATTAATTTAATTATTATAATCATAATTCTTTTATTTATTTATTATTAATTATAAGAAAGCGCTCTTATTTATAGGTAGCACGACATGCAATGATTGATTAATCATAATCTTCATTTATGATAAATTTAAATTAATTTATTCGTCCTAGGTGTTAGTGTCGTCAAGCCGTTTTCGCGTCTGCTCTACAAAGAAGAATTAGAAAAATTGTAAAATATGTTAGGTGTTAATTTATTAAATGTCTTTGTGTAAGTAAAAGTGAAATGTTTGAGTAAGTAGTTACGGTGGGTGAGATAAGTGTGTGAGGCGGGTGCCTGTCAGGATTCGGCAGGTGCATTAATCGCCAACTCATGGTGGGGAGGGCTCCGTTAGGGTGAACCTTAACAGCTGTCCACCGTAGCCGATTGTCCGACAGAGTGTTTTAAAAGTAACCGAAATTCGTTAGTCCAAGTTTAAATACAAATTATTTTGGTAACCGACTCTTCCCTTGATCGAGGTCATACCCACCCCTGGTTTATCTCCGTCTAGCCGGCAAGTCGATGAAGGGAACCCGAACCACAAGTCGGACAGTAGCATAGTCTTCTATATTGTATAATAGACTGATGTTATTTTCTAAATTAAAATACGATGGCAAATTACTTTGTTTGCCGGAAACTAGCTCATAAGGACATTAAATATGTGCCATTGAGGGGGTTGTGTTAAAACAATAAACGAAACATTGAAACCATACGTCCCAATCTGTCTTATCAACATATATATATGAGCGAATGTATTCGTTAAAAGTTCTATGACTTCTTTTTATTGTTCCAACTGTCTGGTGGTGGTGTGCATCTGGCGTTATATTTTCCACTTTCAAATATTTGCACAAGTCATTGACAATAGAAGTTTTATATTCAGTTCCCATGTCCGAAATGAACGTCTTCATTGGAACATACTTCAATATACAAGATTCGAATATTGCTTTTGAGACAGTATTTGCACTTTTATTTACAATTTGAATGGCACCTAAATATTTCGTTAAATCACATATTAATGTAACTGCATATTCATTGCCTTTTTATACCCTGAACCCAATAAAAATGGGTAATCAGGGTATATCGTATTTGTGCAAATGTATGTAACAGGCAGAAGGAAGCATCTCCGACCCCATATAGTATATATATTCTTGATCAGCATCAACAGCCGAGTCGATTTAGCCATGTCCGTCTGTCTGTCCGTCCGTCCGTCTGCCCGTCTGTCCGTCCGTCCGTCCGTCAGTCCGTCCGTCTGTCCGTATGTATGACCGCAAGGATCTCAAAACCTATAAGAGCTAGAGACTTGCAATTTTAGCTGTAGGTCCTCCTAATCCATGCGCAGATCGAGTTTGTTTCCGATAATCGATAATTTGCCCCGCTCCCAAGTAATCGATAAAAATCGATATCGAAATCCTGTTTTTTGAGCAATTTTGGTAAATAATAAGAACTAGAGACACCAAACTTGACATGTAGCTTCTAGAATAGTATACATATGTAGCTCATTTTGAGAATACACGAATATTTTATAGAACAATAAGACCTTTTACTGAAAATTTCATCAAGATCGGTTAGGAAACACGAAAGAAAATGTGTTTTGGCCTGCAAACACGTGCAGCAGCAAGCGCAAATTCCAAGAATTTCTGTATACATGTACACACACACAATTCTATCAACATCTTTGCAATTGCGATTGTATTGTTTTCTGTGCTACTATTTTAATTCGCGTTTTTCTCATCAAGAGTTAATTATTGGTGTGGCTAGTGAGTAGAGGCGGCGGAAAGTAGCGCGGTCAGTTACGAGTTTGAACCCTGCCGAGGAATCTATTTTTTTTTTTTATTTGGCTGGTGCGGCTGCTGCGTAGGGGCGGCAGCAAGTAATACGGTCAGTTGCGAGTTCAAACCCTGTCAAGGGAACTTTTTTTTTAAATTTATTTTTATTACTACTAAAGCATACGATCGCGTAGCGCGAGCTGCATTTGGTGTATATAAGAATAAGAGGGTTCAGGGTATCCCCTAGTCGGGAGCTCCCGACTAGAACCTCTTACTTGTTATACCCTGAACCCATTAAAAATGGATAAAAAGGGTATAATGTATTTGTGTAAATGTATGTAACAGGCAGAAGGAAGCATCTCCGACCCCATAAAGTACACCTAACCCTCGATTTACACGGTACTTGATTTACACGGTTTCGCTTTAACACGGTTTTCAAATCGCAACGAAAAAATTTTTTTTTCTTATTCTGATAGTTTTATTTGTATAAGTTTGCAAAACATATGGTAAATATTTATTCCATTCACAACAGGCCATTCACATTAGCTTTGTTTTAAACGTGAATGACATTGTGCATGAAGAAGAAGAAACTTCAAATCCATTTGTTGAATTGAATTCTAATAACACGTGAAAAAAGGAAGTTTATTAATTTTAAAAATTAATTCGTAACAGTGCTTTAATTTTAATACAGCCCTATAATGTCAACAAAAAGCAAACCAAAGAAAAGGAGAACAATCAGATTGGAAAAGAAAATTGAAGTTTTAGACAAACTAAAATCTGGACAAGGCTCAACATCTGTAGCAAAAGAATATGGAATGAATGAGGCAACTAGTAGGGCAATAAAGCGATTCGAAGATTCTATTCGAAAAAGTGTAGCCAGGGGAACTACTGTAAGCGCAAAATTTTCCACATATCATCGAGATGATTTAATAGAAGCAGTAGAAAAAGCTCTAGTAATTTGGATAGATAACAATTTAAAAAAGAAATACCGGTAGATTCTAATTCGATAAAACACAAAGCACTCAAAATTTTTAGCGCTTTAAAAGAAAACCAACAAACTCCATCTATAACAGAATTTAGTGCAAGCAAGAGATGGTTTGAAAACTTTAAAAAGAGACACAATATGCATAACATTCAACTTAAAGGTGAAGTCGCCTCCGGTGATGATAAATCTGCTAAAGAATATCTGGCAAAACTGGCAAAAATTATTGGATAAATACCACACAAAACAATATGCTGTTTTTGGATTGCCGGCGGAAGGAAAGCTATCGATAGATTCGAGGGGTGCGCAATTATCGGAGCCACCGGTTCCCTAGCGTGACTCTAAACATTCTTGAAAGGGAGAGCGGTTTATGTTGTTGGGAGCAAATAAAGTAAGAAAAGAAAAGATCCAGAGTCAAGTGCAAGCTGGCCGCATACAAAAAAATATCTTGAATTATAGATAAGGGCGAATTTTCGGTTATTTGAAAAATTTAAATTAAATTGAAGTGAACCAAAAGAATTCGAAAAATATTATATATTTGTTCAATTAAATTTATTAGTGTCGCCAAAACTGAAGTCCCACAATACGCGAGGTGCCGCAGGCGAGGATCAGGTCACCAGAGGAGCGGATTGGCCACCACCTCTGGGTGGCCTCAGGTTTTTTTTTCTTATATAAATTTAAAACCAAATTGAAGAAAGAATTCGAGATAAAATAATGGCGGTCGAATAATTAATATTAAATGATCATAATTTTATATTAATTTAATTATTATAATCATAATTATTTTATTTATTTATTATTAATTATAAGAAAGCGCTCTTATTTATAGGTAGCACGACATGCAATGATTGATTAATCATAATCTTCATTTATGATAAATTTAAATTAATTTATTCGTCCTAGGTGTTAGTGTCGTCAAGCCGTTTTCGCGTCTGCTCTACAAAGAAGAATTAGAAAAATTGTAAAATATGTTAGGTGTTAATTTATTAAATGTCTTTGTGTAAGTAAAAGTGAAATGTTTGAGTAAGTAGTTACGGTGGGTGAGATAAGTGTGTGAGGCGGGTGCCTGTCAGGATTCGGCAGGTGCATTAATCGCCAACTCATGGTGGGGAGGGCTCCGTTAGGGTGAACCTTAACAGCTGTCCACCGTAGCCGATTGTCCGACAGAGTGTTTTAAAAGTAACCGAAATTCGTTAGTCCAAGTTTAAATACAAATTATTTTGGTAACCGACTCTTCCCTTGATCGAGGTCATACCCACCCCTGGTTTATCTCCGTCTAGCAAGTCGATGAAGGGAACCCGAACCACAAGTCGGACAGTAGCATAGTCTTCTATATTGTATAATAGACTGATGTTATTTTCTAAATTAAAATACGATGGCAAATTACTTTGTTTGCCGGAAACTAGCTCATAAGGACATTAAATATGTGCCATTGAGGGGGTTGTGTTAAAACAATAAACGAAACATTGAAACCATACGTCCCAATCTGTCTTATCAACATATATATATGAGCGAATGTATTCGTTAAAAGTTCTATGACTTCTTTTTATTGTTCCAACTGTCTGGTGGTGGTGTGCATCTGGCGTTATATTTTCCACTTTCAAATATTTGCACAAGTCATTGACAATAGAAGTTTTATATTCAGTTCCCATGTCCGAAATGAACGTCTTCATTGGAACATACTTCAATATACAAGATTCGAATATTGCTTTTGAGACAGTATTTGCACTTTTATTTACAATTTGAATGGCACCTAAATATTTCGTTAAATCACATATTAATGTAACTGCATATTCATTGCCTTTTTATACCCTGAACCCAAT